TCTTCCGCGTCCCGACGCCGCGATCCAGCTTCTCCTTCTCTCTCCGACGTCTCTATTCCTCTCGCAGCCGATTCCTCTTGCTCACCACGAGCAGAGTGGGTAGTTGGACGGTCGTAATTCCGGTCAGATTCCAACGGCGTAACGAAAGGCCCGTTTTCTGGCCCAGGTTTTCGGTAGCCTCCAAGGGGGGGCCCCCCGAGATCGAGCCGCGAAATCGCGCGGTCGTGGTCGTCCGATTCCAAGCGTGCGATCCTCTCTTACGAGGATCTCTGGCCTTCCACCACTCTGCCAAGCAGAGAGGATCCTCGGGGATCCTCTGGTCGCAGTGGACACACATCCCTCGGTTTCGGTTTCTTCTCGCGGTTTCCGCTTAAGCCGTCATACCAACCGGCTCACCTCGTGAGAGAGAAAGAGTGCCTGGCGCGGCCGAAAATCGGGCCGGTTTCAAAAATAGACCCACGGCAATCCGCGGGGCTGCTCCGGTGAACCGTTCATTAGACGCATCATGAGGGCGCCCAAGGGAACCGAAACGGAGCGAAGAAAAAGGAGGAGAAACACGGAGGCTGACCACTTAACTCTTCCTTACGCTACCGACCACAACGTAACCATACAGCACGGCCTATGCTACTCGACCCATTTGCCCGTGACTCTCACACGCAGAGGGTAAACTGGTCCGGCGAGCCAGAGGCCGGCTCTGGACCCGGTGCATCGTGAGACGCAGCTTTTTCGGTAGGGCACCTGATCGTGGGCCCCGCGATGGAGGAAGAGACGGGGCGAGACCCTCCTAATCTGCTGGCCCATTACGATAATACGTTTAGTAGGAAGCCTGTGGAACCGTGTGTGCTCTTCTTCCTCCTACTCCCTCGGCTACGTTGCGAAAACAGGTAGGCCGCGGAGGTAGGAAGACGAGAAGAAGGAGAAGTCGTCGGAGATATATAGCAGAGGAGGAAGAGGGAGTAGCCCCGGTGGTAGTGGAAGAGAAGGAAGAAGAAAAGAAGAACGCCTCTTTCCCAGAGCCACAACGTGGTATACGCTTACTCTCTTTGTGCCGGATGCGTGCCGCCGGCGGAGTAGCAATAGCGGACGAACGTCCGGTCTGCCCTCTCTCTTTCTCTCTCCTTCTCTCTCGCCGGAGGCCGATGCACTTCGATCGCATCATTGGGCGCAGCAGCACCACTTCGCCTCTCTCTGCCCTACTGATGGACATGCTTAATTACTTTTCGCGTTTCGTGCCGCTTCGCGCCGCGCCCTCTCCGCGCCATGCCCGATTAATCCATGCGAGATGTCAGACCATCCACCGGGCTCATCGTTTGCACCTACTCGGGGTGTGGAACCACTGGTACACTCCCAGCTTTCGAGGATTGTCTCGTGATACTATGTCGCGAAGGTTCGGGTGGTTCCATGACCGATTAGTCGATACAGATGTCAAAAAACCGCGATAGAGAGATCATTCGAGGCTACTCGGGGTGTGGATCCCCTGTTCCAGTTGTGTCAGCTCTCGAGGATTGTCGCGTGATGAGCTGTTGGCAAGACTTGGGTGGTTCCATGATAGATCAGTTTACGGTGTCAAAAATCCGCGATAGAGAGTGATCATTGGCATCTACTTGGGGTGTGGATCCCCTGTTCCATTCTCGGGTTTCGAGGATTGTCCCGTGACAAGGTGTCGCGAAGATTTGGGTGGTTACATGATAGATCAGTCGATGGAGGTGTCAAAAATCCGCGATAAAGTGATCATTGACATCTACTTGGGGCGTGGATCCCCTGTTTCCCTCTCAGCTTTCGAGAATCGTCTCGTGCTGAGCTGTCAAGAAAATTTGGGTGGTTCCATGATAGATCAGTCTATGGACATGTCAAAAATCCGCGATAAAAAGATCATTCGCGTCTACTTGGAGAGTAAATTCTTTGTTTCACTTGTGTCACCTTTCGAGGATTGTCTCGTGCTAAGTTGTCAATGAAATTTGGGATGGTCAGTCAATGGACAGAGGTGCACTTGCAATTCTGAGACAAACCTCATCCCGTTTCTTCTCTTCCACATCCCGAGTCCACAGGATTGCTCCGTTGTATCGGGCAGATTGGAATCGATGGAACCACGCGAGAGAATGGCTAGGGACGTGGGTGGTACTGTCAGGGTGCACAGCTCTGGGGGAAACGGTGACACGTGGGACATCGCGAACGTGTCGGAGTCAATGGGTGGTAAATTGGAATTGATTCCTGTCGGGCGAACGTTGGAGTTAATTGTGCTCGTATCAACTGAAGTGAATCTCGGTAAATCGAGTGAACCGCGGTGAGACTAATTGACCCTTTCGGAAACCAATATTGTCCTATCGCGAAAGCACCCGAACAAACTAATCGTCTTTCTTATCAACTCGCGATGGCTGCAAAAAGGGCAGTCAGGCAAGCGACTATGTTCGAAGCACAGGGAGAGATTAGGCTAAATGACAGAGCGAAAAAGACAGGATGATGAGCAGATTCGCTAACGGAGTCGCGATTTTTGGAATTTCCAGAGAAAGTGCTGATAACCAGGCTGACCACGCAGAAGTGGCTGGACGTCGGGCCGAATTGGACCGAGGACGAGTACAGGAGCGCTCACGCGAAGATGGTGTACGAGTACAGGGTGACTTGCGTGACGCACTATTACGGCAAGGGCTGCGAGAACCTGTGCAAGCCAAGGGACGACAGCTTCGGTCATTACAGCTGTAGCCCGACCGGGAAGCGCGTCTGCCTCTCTGGATGGGAGGGTGACTACTGCAATACTCGTAAGTCTCTTTTCTTTCTTTCTTCCTCTTTTTTTTTTTTTTCTCTTCTCCCTCCAACGCCCATTATCGTACACGTAATATGCGTGCACTCCCACGCTTCCCATCGCGACTGCACCGCGCGTGACATCCCTCCTTTTGTAGGAATTCCGTGTATGAAATTACAGAGACGATCTCTCTCGCGTTCTTTCTCCTTTTCGCCGTGGCTCTCCCCGTCTCTCTGTTCATCCCTTGTCCCGTCCGACCGTGTGTCTCGCGTCCTCATCGCCGCGTAATTTATACTGTTCGCTGGTAACCGGAGAGGCTGTCAAATTTAGGATTTTCTTCCGCGATTCTTCCGAT